AACTCCTGGGCTCAAGCGAGTCTCCTGCCTCAGCCTCCCAAGTAGCTGGGACCACAGGCGCCCGCCACAACGCCCAGCTATTTTTTTGGTTGCAGCCGTCATTGTTGTTTGGCGGGCCCAGGCTGGGGATTGGAACCCGCCACCTTAGGTGTATGTGGCTGGCGCCTTAGCCGCTTGAGCCACAGGCGCCAAGCCCAGTTCTCTGTTTTTAAATAAACGGGTGGTGGTCATGACACGGGACTGCTGGCTCTAGTGCAGTCTACTGCAGTCTTGGTAGTTTCCAGATTTCCCAAGATATTTGAGTCCGTGAGCTTAATGCCAAACACGTCTGGGGAGGTGGTTAGATGACCTTTGACTCTTTATTTTAGTTCAACAGGCAGGACTTCTCCAGGCCTTTAGTTTTAGGTCAATAGGAAAGGACTAGTTCTCAGCAACAGTGGAGGTAATTCTTCCATTGCGAACCTTCCTATGGCTTTTGTGTAGTAGAAGTTACTAGATGTTTTAGCTAGCGTTCAGTGTGTTCACCCCTGAGATTGAGAGTGTAACCTGACAAGCCCCGAGTTGGGCTCTGTGTCTAAGCCCTGCCCGTGACAGGTGCCGTGTGTGCTCCTCTGGCTGAGATGACAGGGTGCCGTGTGTGCTCCTCTCACCAGGCTGAGATGACAGGGTGCCATGTGTGCTCCTCTCACCAGGCTGAGATGACAGGGTGCCGTGTGTGCTCCTCTCACCAGGCTGAGATGACAGGATGCCGTGTGTGCTCCTCTGGCTGAGATGACAGGGCGCTGTGTGTGCTCCTCTCACCAGGCTGAGATGATAGGGTTCCGTGTGTGCTCCTCTCACCAGGCTGAGATGACAGGGTGCTGTGTGTGCTCCTCTCACCAGGCTGAGATCACAGGGCGGTGTGTACTCCTCTCACCAGGCTGAGATCACAGGGTGCCATGTGTGCTCCTCTGGCTGAGATGACAGGGCGCTGTGTGTGCTCCTCTGGCTGAGATGACGGGGCGCCGTGTGTGCTCCTCTTACCAGGATGAGTCTGTTGAGTGCTCATTCATTTTTTTCACTTCTGCTACAACCTGCTACAACCACCCCCCCTCTGTTTTTCCATCTTGTTGACAGCTTGTAGACAATAAAGCAGGAGTTCTCTTTTTATATCTGAATCCTTAATGATCAGGAAATGGATTATAAACAAACAAAAGCAGTTGCAAACAGCAATTAAAGTGATACTAGATGCAGTGCTGTGACTGTTACCTACAGTTTGTTTCCTCAGAGTTTTATAGATTTCCGACAGCTGGAAAGGTGATGTTTCCTTTTGTAACTGGTAGCTTGATAATGCTTTTCCTACACTGGCCCATAGAACCTTCAACCTTGGCCGTGCGCAGTGCCTCATGCCTGTAATCCCAGCACTCGGGAAGGCCAAGGCAGGTGCATCCCTGGAG